CCACAAATATATCAAAAAGTGAAAATGACCTGAATACAAAATGACATAAAATACAAAAATAATTTTTTCAAAATTTTTAAATAAGTTAAATATCAAACAAAGCAAGATTTTGTCAAAAGAAAACAACTTATTAAATTTTTTTATAACATGCTAATCGAAGAGTATTACACAGGCCTATGTAGTATGTAGTACTCGTATGCATTAACAATGGGCGATAAAAAAAAAGGTGCGCCACTGAAAACTTAAAAATAACCCTGAATTTAAAAAAAAAAATTTACAGTGAAATTAACTTCATAAAATGTATTATTATATTCCTAATAATATAAAAAATTTTATATTATTATATTTTATTCCTAATAATATAAAAAATTTGCATGAAAAAAAGTCAGTTACGCAAAACATTAAGCATTGATCTACAGATATTTTCTATTCGCACCATAATAATAAAAATGTCCATAGAATTAAAATTATTCAACATTGTGTTACTCTACGCTACTCTTTAATTCTTATTTATTATACGCTGGCACTACACATTTTTTTGAATGATGTGAATCATGACCAATACATTTATTAATTATTACTTTTATACACATAATAGAATAATTTCGTATATGTCCATGCACAAAGGTTGTTATTTCAAACAGCTGTATCCATTCAATCGTACATATGCACAAGTGAAATCGTTTCATATAATGTACATTGCAAGGTACCCAAAAAATTAAGATATTCAAAAAGACACATGTGCACATAATTTATATTGTCTAATATGTATAAGATTAACACTCATGCGTACACATATAATTATCTCAAATAGCAATATTTATATTTTGCTGAGATTGCTCCCTATCAACACTCGCACGTACACACATAATTATACCACAAAGAAAGATTTTTATTATGCTGAGTTTGCGCTGCGCTAACACTCATTCGTACACATTATATTTAAATTGTTTCATATATGCAAAATTTTCTTTTTGCTGAGTTGTCGCCCTCTCACCAAACAAACAAAAACGTTATCATAATGTATTACTTTTTCTGTATACTCGTATTATTGCATTAGTAAAAAACAAGAGCAAAAAAAAATGATGTAGAATGAGAATAGAAAGAAAATAGCAAATGAAAATGAGAACAAAAACAACAAATTTTAAAAGAATTTCAAAATTACATGATCGTTATGAATTTTCGTTACTATGTTTTCTTTCTTTTTTTTGTAAAGAATATTATCAACAAAGTATATCTATAAACAAGTAATTCGACTCTCCGTTTACATCACCCTAATGCAATCACTAATCAATATTTGTATACAAAAAATTCCTTTAGCTAAAAGAGTCAAGCACTATACCTTCTTATTTTCATTTTTATACACATAAGAATTTTTGGGAGAGGGAAAGAGTACGCAATAGATGTCTACCTGTTTTTTTATAATGTATTTTAAAAAGCGGGAGTTATTTATTTTTCCCTAAATTAAGAAAAAATATTAAGAATTTTAAAAGCGGGAGTTTTATTTTTGTAACTTATTCCAGTACAAGGTGGCAAAAAAATGTGTATTCATATTATAAAAGCGAAGCGGAGAAAAAGTATTTAAAAAAATTATTATAATTTATATATAATTTTGAAAAATAATAAAAATAAATTTTGAAAAGACGCATAATATTAAAAAAAAATTTAAATAGTTGTGAAAAAAATATTTTTTTTATAAAAATGGGAAAACATTATTTGAATTGTTTGGGATGAAAAAAAGCCGACACGAAAATTTCATTTGATGCCAAAAGATGTGGAGAGGTAAATATGTACTTTTGAAAATATTTTAATTTTTTCACAACTATTTTTAAAATATTTAAGCATTTGTAATTAATAATTATCAATAAATAAATAAATTATCTTTAAATTTTTTATTTTTATTTCAATCTTAATAAATTTAAAACCTATTTCTTATGAATCGGTAATAATTACATTTCATAAAGTATTAATCAGTATGCATATAGCTTTTTTTTCTTTATAAATTACTTTATTTCTATGTAACTTCTATGTATACTGTACCAGGTACATATGTGTACATTCACACATTTAATTTCAAACTCATATATCTTTTGCTTTCATACATTTGAATTTTTTACCTAACTTTAATAAAATGAAAAGTAAAAAATAAATGTTGTTATTATCAAAATAAAAATAACAAAATTTTTACCTAACTCAATTTAATATTATTTCAGTTCAATGTTTTTGATACACTCGTTTGTTTACAATATTTGGTTTCTTTCTTGCCTACACAACTCTTATTACCATCTATTTCTAAAAAAATGGAATATTTTAAGAATTTGGAAGCAAAATGCAAATAAAAACTAACGGAATGGAACGATTCGAACTACTTATTATAGATATACTTTGGTTATCTTATATTTTATTATTAACAATTTATATTTAATTAAAGAATCAAATATGAATTGTTAATAAGTACTATTTATATTGAATTGAAAAAATGTTGTTTAATAATCAAGCGAATGTTAAGAATTTTATGTTGAATTTATGTGGTGTTCAAAAAATAAAAGTAAAATGAAATAGTGCATATTTTATTTCATTCTTTTATCTCCAAAATTAAAACAATCTGGGCGACTTTCTGAATCAAATAGTAGTAATAATAACAATAAAAGCATAAAAAATAAATAGAACAACAGCTTGGTGAAATAATAGTACAATATTACTACAATTGTGCGTTAAGTTCGATAATGCTGAGTTGCATGTGCAGCAATTGTTGTGAGAGAAAAGATACGCTGTGAGTACCTTTCTGACGCTTTTCTAGATTACTTTTCTAGATTTTTACATTAAAAATATGTACATATTTTTGTTTTATTTAACATTATGAAGAATATGTCTGTAGTAAAGATTTAGACTGTGGCATTAAAAGTCAAACAGATACTATCCATGAAACATATTTTTGGATTTTAACTAAAATTAAAATATGGACAAAAATATTTTTGAAAAAGTTTATGTTTTGGAACTTTTTAATGTTTTAATTTTTTTGTCTGATTTCAAAACAGAATTTTAAATTATTAAATAAATCGCTAAAAGTTTTAATTCCCGATATATCAGCACTTCTGCAAAATACTAAAAATAAAAGTTTAAATTTCAACAATGATTATTCTTTTCTTTTCTTATAAGTTAAAATAAATGCGTTTGTAGTATACGTATTATATAATATGAATTCATAGATGACTCAATTTGTATTTAAAAATATTTTCGTTTCCTTTTTGTTTCCTTTCATCATGTTTCCCTCACACGTTTGTTTGCAGTTGTTATCTCATTTTTCATATAGATATCTAATTACCATCCATTTCTCAAAATTTATAGTAATGTGTGGGATATTTTGTAAGGTTCAAGAAAAATCAAAAGATTTCTACGAAATGGATATATTTCGTATAATAGATATATGTACTTCAATAGTATATGACATGTACATACATATGTATGTAGTATACCAACTTATGCACGAAATTTTTCATAAAAATATATTCATATTAAGAACATAAATTTCTAAATATCTATTATAACAAATAAATTAACATACCGATGGATTTGCCATACATCGTCGCATTTGATCTGGTCCTCTGTAATTTGGACTGTATCGCCCTGTAAAACATCCTGATGGGCCGAGTTTTATTTTTTCGGCCGTTTGATACATTGAAACCGTCATACATCCTCCGGAATAATCTTCTTCTAATTTTAACGCCTTTGGGGCGTCTATTGCAGCCGTAGGTGAGTAAATTTTGAATAAAATTTATTTTCCTCTATTTTTGTGAGCAGTTCATAAATAATTCGGGTATTTTTATACAAAGATATATGATTATATGTCGGTAAACATGTACACATATTTTGTGTACATTTATTTGCAAATATATATGAATGTATATATACATACATGTAAATAAACTATATACATTACATTTATATATATTATATAAATACAGTATATGTCAATATTTTATATTAAATATATTATTTATTATATATAAATTATATATAATATTTAAAAAAATGTATATATTTATAATATATATATATATATATATATATATATATATATATATATATATATTTTATATTATTAATATATTTATATATCTTTGTATAAATATGTGAACAACATACAATTATCTTTTGTATGATTAAATATCATATCTTTTTAAGACTTTGTAAATCTTAAATAAATTAAAAATAACCCTAAAAAACAGTCATTGCACAAAAGTCTTATATATTATACATACATTTGATTGATTTTAAAATTGAACATTATAGTTTTCAAACATCTTTGAAATTATATTATTATTCAAAGCAATCTTAATGTTTAAGAAAACTAATGGCTTTCACTCTCCTCACCTTCTCACTTCTTAAAAAACGAAAATCATTTTATAAATTATTACACAAAAATTTCAGTAAGTCTGTTTGCTAACAAAATTTCGTTTATATTTTATTAAACGCGTGGTTAAAAATTCACCAACTGTATCAACACCATATTTTACTTTATCGTAAAAAATAAGTTAAATATTGAAGAAGTCTAAAATTTTTATATAGCTACCATACTTTCACTATAAAATTTTTATACTATAATAAATGAGGCGTTTCATTATTTGTTTTTTTTCTAGAATTGAAGGTGGAGTTTATATTCTGTTATAACAAATCTGAAAGTCATTGGTTGTTGTTTTTCTATACGTTCTAAGTATTTATACAAAATATTCCTTTGCAGGGTTTTAAAATATTTAATAGGATACTCACGACAAAAGGTTGCAATGTGTAGGTATAGTTTTATTCACTTTAAAAATAATAAAAGAAATTAATTTTCCATGTATACAAAAAAAATATTATTGGATGTTTTTATGTGTATGTTTCAAAGTGACAAAATGGTGAAACTGATGAAGTTTTATTAAAACAAAAATATAGTGCTGCTGGTTTTGAAATCGAATTTTGAAATCGCAAAAAATAGAATTTTTGTTATTGTTGTTTTGTTTTCGATCTTCAAATTTGCAGACATTAACTTAAAAAACCAAAAGTTTATTTTGAAGTACGGAAAAATCTCAATACACAAAGTTAGTGTAAATGAGCGAAATACTTTGTCAGTCATTTTAAAAAATTTATATTTAATTAAAAGCAATGTTGTCTTAGACCGGTGTCATTGGGCAGCTTTGAGATGATTAAAATTGTGATATACATAATTTAAAATTCCTTTATTTTCGAGTGGTTGAATGATACAATGGTGATTTATTTAGTTTATATTGTTATATTAACATAAAACAAATCCATATTATAAACTTAAAAGATATATTCCCTATTATAAACTTAAGTTTTTCAAATCTTTTACATTATAAAACTTAGCTATCTTTAAAGATGTATAAATATTTAGCTGCTTCAATTTTGTTTTTATTGACATAATTAATGTTTGTTGTCAAGTATATTAATTGAAAGTTTACTGATTTAAAAATAAAAAATCCGCAAATTGATCTTAAAATTAAATTAAAAGAAAGTACAAGGAAGTAATTTTAGTTTTAAGACATACTTACTTATATAGAATTAGACCATTTTATTTTAGAATGATTAGATTAGAATATGCATCATAATAATCTGTATTGTTTTTATATTTCTATCTTAAAGACACAATATACTCTCTCTCATCTACTGTCATATTTCTAATTATAAGCCGTTATTATGCTTTGTGAAGTATATATGAATTATTTTAATATATGAATTATATATGCATACATACATACGTACATAAATGTACTCGTATATTCATACATCGTATGATTTTTGAAATAAAACATTAACAGTTTATATACACAAAAAAAAATCAATATTTTTTAATAAATCGATTGTTAAAAAGTTTGTTAAAAACCTTAACAGTCATTTTTGTTGAAATGATATCATTTATTATGAGAGTAATGTCATTTGTTGTAAATTATACTGCAAAAGATTATCTTTTTTATAATCACCCTGTTAAACTTACTTTTAAAAAACAAAATTTTCAAAATAATCAGCAAAATTTTTGAAATAATAAGTGTTATTATTAGAACTATATAAAACATTGTCAAATGTATAACATTCTCTGTAATGTTTTTTGAAAATGTTACTTTTAAAATAAAACAAAAATTGTTAAAATTTATTATTGAAAGGAAAATATTTGTTGAATTATCAATATAATCAATTTTTTCGTTTAATAATTTTTGCAATAAATTTTTCGAATTTTTTGAGAGTGAAAGAATAATGTAAATTATTGACAAGAGATCTTTTGGATTTTTTGAGCAACGTACATTTCAAGTCATTGAAGTAAAAGCACCACTTATTATTTGAATAACAAATTTATTATTTTCAATAAAATATTATTACTAAAATATTATTTGTTACAAAATTTTAAAATTTTTTGATAGTGGAGACAATTGTCTATATTTTATAACGATTTTGTTGAGATATAAATTTCAAGTTATTTAAATAAGAACAACGTTTATTATTCTAATAACAAATTTATTACTTTTGATGAAATGTTATAACCTTAATAACATTACTTGTTAAAGTAAAAGTAAGGCAAAAGAATATTGTAAATTTTCGTTTTGTTGTCACTTAGAAGCGTAATAAACGACATTACATTATATTTTTGCAGTTGTGTGACTTTTTGTTATGTTTCCAATAATAATAAAAAAAAGTGTCCCTTCAAATTTTAACGCTATTGAAAAATGTAAAATTTAGGAAATTTTATAAAGTGAGTTAAGAAGAGAAAATTTCTAGAAAAGCCAAAATTAAATTTCTTTTTTGTGTTAAATAGGTATGTACCTGGAAGTAAACAAAGATGTGCAAACATTATTAGAGTTTTAAACAATCATATCATATTGAATTTTTGTTAATTAACTAAATTACTGTAAGTTATTTGCTAATCACAGTAGTTCACGTCATCCAACTCAGAATTGTAAATTATAAAACATAGTAACATATTCATTAAAATAATTGAATTTACTTTCCTCTACAGATTTCAGGTTTCAAGAACATTTTTTTACTACACGATGCTAGGAAGAAACCTTCTTAAATAACGCTGTTGTTAATTACAGAAACGAGCCTCAGCAAATCAAAATAAATTATAAATGAGCCTCAGCAAATTAAAGTATTGTGATAATTTATGTAAATTTTTTTATGAAATTTTAATTCATTATATCTGATTATTTGTATTTAAATAATATTATGCAAACGTAAGTTTTTTTATTAGTGTTACTTCCAAAAACAAATAGTGACAAATAAAAGTATGTTAACTCAAAATTTTAATATCTAGATATATATATATATATATATATATATATATATATATATATATATATATATATATATATATATATATATTTAATTTTACAAATTAAAACGTTATTGTAAAGTTATTTATTTAATAAGAAAAATTGTTACTGTAAAGTTAGTAATTCGATTATTATATTAACGATACTTATTATTCTAAATCTCAATTGTTGTTGTTCATATATATGGTAAACATAAAAATTGGAACACTTTTTTTATGGTAAAAAAGATTTTGCCAAGATAATAATTTGAATTTGGAAATAAAATCTTTTAAAAGTAATCTATAACTTTAAAAATAACGTATTAAGAAAGTTGAAAAATAATTTTAAAATGGTTTAATTATCAATGTTAAATTATTGCCATCTTGGTAAAATCTTTTTCAGTATAAAACAAATTTGCAATTTTCATGTTTATGAAAAACAACAAGTTAATTTGAAAGTGTTTAGTATTATTAATATAATGATCGAATTATTAAATTGACAGTCAAAACTTCTATTATCAAATCAATAGTTTTCACTATTAATATTAACCAACATGTAATTAATTTAATAGTAAGTTTTGTTAAATTAACAAATACTGCTGTTAAACAAATAATCCTTTTTAATTAAATTGAAAAATCGGAAAATTAATTTAATAAATTTCATATTATTGACATTAGTAATCTTATTATTAAGTCTATAATAGGTGCTATTAAATAAACAGCATCAGTCTTCAAAAAAATTGTTTTTATTGTTAAATTAACAATATAAAGTATTAAAATAAAGCTTTTATTCATTAAATTAATAATCATTGTAATTAAATTGCAACAACAACTCTTAACTTAATTCTCTCTTATTTTTTATTCTCTCTACGAGTAGTTATTCATTATTGGATGTATTTTAATGACATTTTTATTAATTTGATATCAATTTCATTAAAATAATTTTTCAGTGTAACCTCTGTGTGCTCATATGCAATAGAAAATGAAAAGAATAAAATTTATGTAAACGGTATGGAATTGCGTGCTTGGTGAGATTTTGTGTTAACGGATTGTAATATTTTGATAAAATATTGCTAATTATAAAACTTTCGAAAATTTAAACTTGAAATTTGGCTGAGTTAAATACGCATAAATTAGATTATGAAAATTAAAACACCTGATAGGCACATGTGAAAAGTATTTTAATACCTGTAAAATAAAATTATGAAAACGTCTGAAGATTCTATAAAACTTTGGATTTTGTTTTGAAATATTTAAAAGCACTGACACTAATATCTTCCATGTGACATTCAAGACGAATTTTAAAAATCAAAAACGTGAACTAAAATTATGCTTTGCAAGAACATATTAATAAATTGCCAATTGAAATTCATTAGAAAATTGTAATATTAGGATATAAAATTTCTACTGTAACATTAGCAACAGATATTGAATTTCCTACTTTTGAGTGTTTTAAATCAGGGAAAAAGATAATCGTAAAAGCTGAGTAATGTAATAATGACATTGGTAATGATGACGAAATTGAAAATAAATTGTTTTCGAAAAGGAATGACAAAACATTTTAATATGCCAATTTCAAGATCCGAAAATTTCCCAATTTTATATGTTATAAGAATAAATTATGACTCCGAATTTTCCTAACATTGGTATTCAAAGATCCCTTTTTAACAAATGTTAGTAGCATAAAATTATAATTCGAAACTATATAATTAGCTATAAATTATTTAAGACTAATCACATTCTTCGTAAATAATTCGTAGTTAGTTATAGTTTTATTATGGGTTTTTAATTTAGAACTATTTTTAATTAAGTTCTAAAATAAATAATACAAAGAAATCAAAAAATTATTAAAATGTTTGTATAAACAAAATTTGCTGCAGCAGCTATATTTTTGCCATGCTATTTGCAAAAAAAATTAATTTAAAATTATTTTAAAAATTCCAAGTAGAAAATGTGCTGAATTCTCTTTTAATATAAGGAATTTTGCAACATCTCTTTTAAATTATGAAATATGTCACATCAAATTCTGCTATAAATAAAAATAAAAATATTGACATATAAGATTAAGTATATTCTTATTTTCCAAAACAATACCTGCAAATTTTATATTAAATGATATCAAGAAAATTTAAAAAAAACTCACAAGGAATATATTAACTTTATAACATTACGAAATTTTCAAGGTAAAATTGCTATTTTTGCAGTGTATTTACATTAAAGCATAATATAGCGTATAGCTAATTTTCACAAAAAATATATTAAATTTTGTGGTATGATAATTTAATATTGTCTTATGTTATATGAAGAAATTTATTAAAAAAAATTGCAATTTTTGCTATGTCTCATGCTAAATTTTGCTATGTCCCAATAGCACTTATTCATATTTTAAATGTGAAATTTCAATAGAAATTGAAATTGAAAGTTTCCTAACACGCTTTCAATTAATATAAAAAAAAAAATGGGGCATACTGAAAATTTCATTGCAATTTGTAATATACCCCAAGTACGCTGAAAAAATAAAATTTCAATTCAAAAGTAGGCATTAAATATTGTTAAATTCATTGAATTATTTTATTTTATCTTCTTATATAAATATCTACATTATTTTATTTATGTGTACACCACTAGCTTAGGTGTACAAAAATAGATAATTTTTAATGAATTTTATATTTTAAAATTACAAAAAATTAAAACCTATAAGCTTAACATGTTTAATTAAAATTAAGATATTTAAAAAATTTATCAAATTTAAAAATTTTAATTTAGTGTATTTAAAAATATTATTTTTAAAAAACTAATACTTTGCTTATTCGCTAAAATGCGCTAAAATTGATGAAACAATTATTTTCATATCATGTGACCAGTGTTCCCACTCAATAAAAACAAAATGTATCCAATTTCGAGAAAAAATATGTATCCAAAATATATCCAGCCTCCTAAAGTAGAATTATTATACTAAATCGTCTTATTTTATACCAATAAACTTATAAATAATATTAATTTGCTTTATTCAACAATGTGAGTTTCGTTATTTATAGTAAATTCTTTTAGAAATCACACGCAATTTCTATTACGTTTTAAAATTTAAGGTCAGAAAATATATGTTCTGTAGCTGTTGAACTATGCCGTAAAAACGATTCAGCACGAAAAAGGGCAAATTTCATTTAGTCAGCAAATAACATTTTTTGGAAGATAATGCACTTAAAAATTACAGCACTTTAAAAGTTTTCTAACATTTATTTAGTGAATGTATCCATATTTCAGCAAAATTTTAAAATGTAGCCAATTTCGACATTTTAGCAGAAATTAAAGAAATTAAAGAAATGTCACTTTGAAGCAAACATCTACAGCTCATTCCATGGTACGGCAGTATATATTTACAACAAATTGGTATGGTTGTATAATGGTATCTGAATGAAATAAAAATGAAAATATTTAATATTAGTATGGTGATAAAAAAATCAAATAATGAAAATGAAAATATTTAAAAACTAGTGTTTTACAAATAAAAAATTCTAGGTAAATAAATTTTAACTAAATCAATTTTACTGAACTTAACTCTTTTTAATTGGTTTAATCTTCACACATTTGGTTCTTAGAAATATTGCATTTTACTATTTGCGATACAAAAATGCTGTTCTAGCTATAACTTTGAAGTAAATCTATATCACAATTTGGTTTCTGTACAAAAACATATTTTCTTTAAATAATTTTGAAATAAAATTTATCTTAATTATCAATTTCGAACTCTTATTTACTCATTAAATTCATTTTAATCAACTAAAATTATAATCAGAAATATGATAATACTATAAATTAACCAAAAATAAATTTCTGTAATGCAGTTTTTGTTTAATAATAACTAGGTCGAGAAACTCATAAATAATACTTCATTTTTATATTCTTATTGCATTTTTTAGAGGTTTAATGTTGTTTTACAGCATCGTTTTGATAAAAGAATCATTTATATTTTACATGTACTAACAATTCTTAGCTTTCGGGTGACTTTTTAGTAGCCTATGTATATAACACTCTAAAAATGTAACACTTCTAATTATGTAAACCTGCAATTAGACCTATTTGAAAAAAATAAGTGACATGAATCCGAGTGGAAATGTCACTCAGCTGTTGCAATTAGAAAATTTGAAAGCAGCAGAACACATTTGCATATTCATATAAATTTTTATTTGTTAACCAGGTTCTCTAAAGAAAAAGGAAAATCTTTTGCTATAAAACATAACTGAAACTGCCATTTTTTGTAGATCGAATTTGCTATTTTATATTTTTGAATATTACTATATGAATAACTGATGTTACTATACAACCACGACAATGCCTGATATTTTACTATAGCAAAATTTGCAAGCAAAGTCGCAAGGGACATTCTGCTACCAAAACTTGTGAAAGAATTATATATATGGCATTGCAAGCATAAATAACATAAGTTGTGTTATAAAATTGCTATTTTAGCTATAACGTTGTAGAGAGAATATTATATTTAATTTCTGAAAATTTGATTGTTAATTTCAAATTTTCTTTTAGATTTATTACAAAACAAATTTATACTTTTTTTTTTTTGTAAAAAATATGGTTTTTTCTTGCCATACAGTGTTCTTATTGTTTTGCCATACATTACATTGCAAGCTAATACATTGCAGCTAATAAAACATTTCACGCGAATGATCTAGCAATTTTGGTTTCAAAAACTATGAAAGAACGCTATAAACGTAGTTGGATGTTTTATTGCAAATTCTGTAAATGACTTTTTTTCAGTATAAGTGTAACTACTGTAATAATAAAATGCGTGTAATTCAATATAAAAATGCGCTTTTTTTCGAGTGTTACGATATATTCATAGGAATGTACATATATTGAGAACTTACAAAATATAATGCATGTCGAAGAGATTAAAAGTATCCCACAATTTTTCTATCTCTCCATTTC